TGTCCCAATCTCTCCCCATCTCAATCCTCCCCTTCACTTCTGTCCCAATCTCTCCCCATCTCAATCCTCCCCTTCACTTCTGTCCCAATCTCTCCCCATCTCAATCCTCCCCTCACCCTTGTCCTAATCTCTCCCATTTCCCCATCTCAATCCCCCCTCACCCCTGTCCCAATCGCTCCCCTTTCCCCATCTCAATCGTCCCCTCACTCCTGTCCCAATTTCTCCCCTTTCCCCATTTTAATACACCCCTCACCCCTGTCGCAATTTTTTCCCTTTCCCCATCTCAATTCTCCCCTCACCCCTGACCCAACCTCTCCCCTTTCCCCATCTCAATCCTCACACCCACCCCTGCCCCAATCACAGGCCTCTCTCCCCACTTAATCCTGAGTGCCAACACTCCATTTCCTCGCCCCTCCTGATTTCTGGGCAGCGTTCCCCAAGGATCCCAGACTCCTGCCAGGGGTGCCCACTACTGCCCACTTGCCAGGTGGGCAGTTTGTCACAATGTCAGCTGGTAAAGGGAACAGAATAATTTCCAATGATCGAGGTCCTACTAACGTTACAGAATCACAAGTATGTAGATGGAGGCCATTCAGCCCATCTTGCCTGCACCAGTTCTATTACCTGGTGCTAATTTTCTACCTTTCCCCCATATCTCTGCACACCATTACTACCAAAATAATCATCCAATATCCTAAAATGTTCAATAGGAACTCTATTGCTCCAGCCTTGGTGATTTTGGCCTTCCCATCTCTGGTAAATATCAGAGTCAATGGTGCTACAATGTACTACCATTAAAAAGTAGATTTCCATTTTTCAGAAGATTTTAAACTACCTTAAAGATGTGGACCCTTACTCACCCTCTTCATATTTGTACTGATCTGTGATGTCTTTCCTGTTATCAGATTCAATCTCCTTGGTAAGAATTAATTTTCCAATTTCATCAGTCTTCACATCACCCTTAATCAGGGAACCATCCTTCTGTCTGTTCCAGTAGACTATGTCACTGTTTACCTTAAAGCAGAAAATCAAAATTAACTCATAAACTAAGGTAAATGTTTTCTAATATGTTATCAGATCCACCATGAAGTTATTTCATAGCCTGTACATCCCAGCAATTAGCTTACTGAATCAAACTACACATTCCTTCAGGCCTTTTATTACAAGCAGAACACAGATTGTGTTCAACCTGCCTTAGCTTGTGAAAAAAACTAAAACAAAATGTCTACATTGTGCTATGATTCTGCACATGGGCAGCATGTGCTGAATAATTCTGAGCGTGCTAATAGCCAAAATAACAACAAATTGAAGATAATCAGTCTAGCTCATAACATGGCTCAGTGACATTTGATGAAAGCATCGTTCTTTCACACACAGGGACCCATTTTTGCAAACAGAATTTTGCACCATTTTTGAATTATCTAAGAACTTGGGGAGTCCGTTGTTTGTTCTTGCTTTCTCCATGGCAACACCTTGGCTAATCACTGTTGACTTGCTAACTAATCAGCACACTTGTTTCCAGTTGTATATACTGTTGTGCTCATTTGAAATTTGGCATTTTTGCCTTTGCTCTGATGAGGGCAGAACAAAAAGCTTCGGCAACCTTTAACTTAAGTTCATATGCTTTCAGTGTGAAGAAAGCAGGCTCCAACAATGAGCTAAGAGAACAATTTGCTTATTCTTGGCAGTTCCTTGGCTTGTTCACTGCATTATATAAACTTACAGACTTAACACAGTTCAGCAATTTCACATCACAAACACTGTTCCCATTGATTTACAGACTAGGTCCAGATCATATTCCAAATACCATTTGCGATATTGAAGTATCCTCAAGGCACATCTTCACTTTCTTTACTTGCCCTGTTACTAACACTAATTTTGCACAGCACCATGATCTCTTCTGTTACTTAATCATTCCTATCTTCCACTTTATCACAGAGTTTCCCTTTTGTTCTTGCTTTCCAATTCCCACCGGTGAACTTGCTTAAAACCTGTTATAACTAGAACCTTTGCCAGTTGGGATGAAAATTCACCAACCTGAACCATTAACTTAGATGCTGCTGAGTATTTCCTGCATTCTCTGCTTTCGCTTTCAGATTTCCAGGATCTGCAGCAATTTGCTTCAGGACAATCAAAAAGGTTGACAAGAAACACAAGCTAACATTCAATCACGAAGCATTAGCAGGAGATGGGGATTAATAGGATAGAGCGATAATCACAGATCTGTAAAGGAAGGTTTGATTATTAATCAGAAAATGAAAGAGACAGAGTTCTGGAAGAAAGTGTGAAAGAGAAAAGAGTGAATGAAATAGAGAATGCATTCAAGTCTGCGAGCAGAGCTGGTGATGTAGTGGTAATACCACTACACTAATAATCCAGAATGTTTTGGGGACATGAGTTCAAATCCCACTGTGGCTGACGGTGAAATCTGAATTTAGTAAAAATCTGGAATGAAAAACCTAGCCTAATGGCTACCACATAACCACAGCTGATTTTTGTAAAAAGCAATCTGGGAAGGAAATCTTTTCAGGGATAGTAGGAACGGCAGATGCTGGAGAATCTGAGATAACAAGGTGTAGAGCTGGATGAACACAGCAGGCCAAGCAGCATCAGAGGAGCAGGAAAGCTGACGTTTCGGGCCTAGACCCTTCTTCAGAAA